CCCCCTCAACTCCTTCAGTCCTTCCCCAAACTCTTCCGCAGGTGTTCCCAACCTCAATCTAATGGTTGGCTGTAGGAATCTGCATTTGTCTCAGTCAGCTGCTGGTAGGGCCTCTCAAAGGGAGGCCATGCTGAGTCCCTGTCTGAAAGCACAGTAAGGCATCAGTAATAGTGTCAGTTTGGTGTGCATGGGATGGATCCCAAGTTGGGTCAGTCCCTGGGTGACCTTCCTCGCATTCTTTGCTCCATTTCTGTCTCTGCATTTCCTTTAGACTGGAACAATTCTGGGTCAAAAATTTGGAACATGGATGGGTGGTCCCCTGCCTCAACTGGGGGCCATGTCTATTTATTGGAGATGGTCTCTTCAGGTTCCATCTCCCCACTGCTGGGAATTTGGCTAATGTCAACACTATTGAGTCCTAGCCTCTCCCATCCCAGATCTCAGATTTTCTAGAAGTTCCTCCCTCCCCCAGCCCCACACTGCTGCATATTTCAATTCATTCTCTGGTCCTCTGGGCTTATCTCCTGTCTATCCCCATACATAATTCTGCTTCCCTTTTCCCCTCCCCATACCCTCTCCCACCCAAGTTCCTCCCTCCCTCAGCCTCCCATGATACTTTTGTTCCCCTTCTAAATGGGTTTTAGTTATCCAATTTCATTTTGTCTTCCTTCTTGTTAACCTACCTACAGTCTGAGTTGTCTCATGGGTCTTCTGAACTTTTTGGCTAATATCCACTTGTCAGCAAGTATATACTATGTACTCACTGAACTTTTGGGGTCTGGGTTATCTCATTCAGGATATTTATAGTTCCATCCATTTACCTGCAAAATTCATGATGTCCTTATTTTTAATAGCTGAGTAGTATTCCATTGTGTAAATGAACCACGTTTTCTGAATATATTCCTCTATTGAGGGACATCTGGGTTGTTTCCAGCTTCTGGCTATGACAAATAAGGCTGCTATAAACATAGTGGAGCATGTGTCCTTGCAGGTAGATCTATTTCCAATTTTCTGAGGAACCTCCAGATTGATTTCCAGAGTGGTTGTACCAGTTTGCAATCCCACCAGCAATGAAGGAGTATTCCCTTTCTCCACATCCTTGCCAACATGTACAATCTGTGTAGTTCTTGATCTTAGCCATTCTCGTTGGTGCAAAGTGATAAAAATCAGGATCGTTTTGATTTGCATTTCCCTGATGACTAAGGATGTTGAACATTTCCTTAAGTGCTTCTCAGCCATTAGAGATTCTTCTGTTGAAAATTCTGTTTAGCTCTGTACCCCATTTTTTAATAGGGTTATTTGGTTTTCTGGAGTCTGACTTCTTGAGTTCTTTGTATATTTTGGATATTATCTCTCTATCAGATGTAGTGTTAGTGAAGATCTTTCCCAATCTGTAGGTTGCCATTTTGTCCTATTGACAGTGTCCTTTGCCTTACAGAAGCTTTTCAGTTTCATGAAGTCCCATTTGTCAATTGTTGATCTTAGAACCTGAGCCATTGGTTTTCTGTTCGGGAAGTTTTCTCCTGTACCAATGCATTTGAGACTTTTTTTCACTTTCTCTTCTATTAAATCCACTGTATCTGGTTTTATGTTGAGGTCCTTGATCCACTTGAACTTGAGCTTTGTACAAGGTGATAATTATGGATCAATTTGGATTCTTCTACATGTAGACCACCAGTTAAACCAGCACCATTTGTTGAAGACACTTTCTTTTTTTCCACTGTATGGCTTTGGCTTCTTTGTCAAAGATCAAGTGTCCATGTGTGTGTGGGTTTGTTCCTGGGTCAGTTCTATTCCATTGATTTACCTGTCTGTCTCTGTACCAGTACCATGCAGCTTTTATCACTATTGCTTGAGGTCAGAGATAGTGATTCCCTCAGAAGTTCTTTTATTATTAAGAATTGTTTTTGCTATCCTGGGTTTTTTTGTTTTTCCATATGAAGTTGAGAATTGTTCTTTCCATGTCTGCAAAGAATTGTGTTGGAATTTTGATGGGGATTGAATTGAATCTATAGATTGCTTTTGGTAAATGGCCATTTTTACTATGTTAATCCTACTGGTCCATGAGCATGGGAGATCTTTCCATCTTCTGATTTGATTTGATTTGATTTCTTTCTTAAGGGACTTGAATTCTTGTCATATAGATCCTTCACTTGTTTGGTTAGAGTTACACCCAGATATTTTATATTATTTGTGGCTATTGTGAAGGGTGTTGTTTCCCTAGTTTCTTTTTCAGCCCATTTATCCTTTGTATAATGTAAGGCTACTAATTTGAGTTGATTTTGTATCAAGCTATTTGCTGAAGTTGTTTGTCAGCTGTAGAAGCTCTCTGGTAGAATTTTTGGGGTCGCTTATGTATACTATCATATCATCATATCTTAAAATAGCAATACCTTGACTACTTCCTTTCCAATTTGTATCCCTTTGATCTCTTTTTTTGTCTAATTGCTCTGTCTAGAACTTCAAGAGAGTAGGCAGCCTTGTCTTATCCCTGATTTTAGTGGGATTGCTTCAAGTTTCTCTCTATTTAATTTGATATTGGCTGTTGGTTTGCTATATATTGCTTTTATTATGTTTAGGTATGGGCCTTGAATTCCTGATCTGTCCAAAACTTTTAATATGAAGCAGCACTGGATTTTGTCAAATCCTTTTTCAGCATCTAATAAGATGATTGTGTGATTTTTTTTGAGTTTGTTTTTATGGTGAATTGTACCAATAGATTTTCATATATTGAACCATCCCTGCATCCCTGGGATGAAGCCTACTTGATCATAATGAATGATGGTTTGGATGTGATCTTGGATTCAGTTTGCTAGAATTTTATTGAGTATTTTCGCATAGATATTCATAAGTGAAATTGATAACATAATCCTTCTCTTTGTATTTTGTGAAATAGCTTGAGAAGTATTGGTATTAGCTTTCTTTGAAGTTAAGGTAGAATTCTGTACTAAAATCATCTGGCCCTGTGCTTTTTTTGGTTGAGAGGTTGTTAATGATTGCTTCTATTTCCTTAGGGAATATGGGACTGTTTAGTTTACTTGATCTTGATTTAACTTTGGTATGTTGTATCTGTCTAGAAAATCATCCATTTCATGTAGATTTTCCAGGGTTTTTTTTTTTTATAGGTTTTGGATACTGTCTCTGTGTCCTTTAGTTAGTTGGCTAGGGGTTTATCTATCCTGTTGATTTTCTCAAAGAACCAGCTCTTGGGTTTGTTGATTCTTTGTATCATTCTTTTTATTTCCAATTGATTGATTTAAGCCCTGAGTTTGATTATTTCCTACTGCCTACTCATCTTGGCTGTGCTTTCTTCTTATTCTAGAGCTTTCAGGTGTGCTGTTAAGTTCCTAGTGTAGGATCTCTCCAATTTCTCTATGAAGGCACTTAGTGCTACAAATTTTCCTCTTAGCACTGCTTTCATTGTGTCCTATAAGTTTGGTCATGCTGTGTCTTTGTTTTCATTGAATTCTAGAAAGTCTTTAATTTCATTCTTTATTTTTTCCCCGACCAAGTTGTCATTGAGGAGAGCATTGTTCAGTTTACATGTGTATGTGGGGTTTCTGTTGTTTTTGTTGTTGTTGTTGTTATTGAAGTCTAGCCTTAGTCCATGGAGATCTGATAGAATGCATAGGTTATTTCAATCTTCTTGTATCAGTTGAGGCTTGTTTTGTGTCTGATTATATGATCAATTTTGGAAAAGGTACCATGAGGTGCTGAGAAGAAGGTATATTCTCTTCTTTGGGAGTAAAATGTGCTATAGATATCTGCTAAGTCCATTTGACTCATGACTTCTTATTTTCATTGTGTTTAGTTTCTGTTTCCATGATCTGTCCATTGATGAGAGAGGGGTGTTGAAGTCTCTCATTATTATTATGTGGTGTTCAATGTGTGTTTTGAGCTTTAGTAAAGCTTCTTTTATGAATGTGTATGTCCTTACATTTGGAAAATAGATGTTTAGAATTGAGACTTTATCTTGATGGATTTTTTTCTTTTATGAGTGTCAAGTGTTCTTTCCCATCTCTTTTAATAGCTTTTGATTAAAAGCCTATTTTATTGGATACTCCAGCTTGTTTTTTGGAATCATTTACTTGAAAAACTTTTTCCTAGCCTTTTACTCTGAGGTAGTGTTAATCTTTGTCACTGAGGTGTGTTTCTTGTATGTAGCAACATGCTGAATCATACTTGCAAATCCAGTCTGTTAGCCTATGTCTTTTTATTGGGGAATTGAGTCCATCAATGTTGAGATATTTTAAAAACCAATGATTGTTGGTTCCTGTTATTTTTGTTGTTGGAGGTGATATTATGCGCGTGTGTGTGTGTGCTTTTCTTCTCTTGGGTTTGTTGTGAGATGATTAATTTCTTGTCTTTTCTTGGGTATAGGTACTCTCCTTGCATTGGAGTTTTCCTTCTAGTAACCTCTGTAGGGTTGGATTGGAAGAAAGATATTGTTTAAATTTGGTTTTGTCATGGAATGTCTTGGTTTCTCCATCTATGATAATTGAGAGTTTTGTTGAGTATAGTAACATGGGCTGGCATTTGTGTTCTCTTAGGGTCTGCATGAAGTCTGTACAGGATCTTCTGACTTTTAGTGTCTCTGTTGTTAAGTCTGGTGTGATTCTGATAGGTCTGCCTTTATATGTTACTTGGCCTTTTTCCCTTACCACTTTTAATATTCTTCATTTTTCTGTTCATTTAGTGTTTTGATTATTATGTGAATAGAGAATTTTCTTTTCTGATCCAATCTATTTGGTGTTCTGTAGGCTTCTTGTACTTTTATGGCCATCTCTTACTTTAGGTTGGGGAAGTTTATTTCTATGAGTTTATAAAATAAAAAGTTCCTAACCTAAAACATCCAGGAAATTCAGGACGTAATGAAAAGACTGGTGTCTCAACTATTTTAAATGTAGTACTTAAATGCTAGCTTGGTGAAAGGCACTTGCTTCGGGTGCTGATTTTGTGTGTGGATGGTGTGAATAAATGTTTTCTTTTCTCTTTGCCAGGTCTCTCTATTAGGAGTGTGTGCTGGAAAGCTGACCGTCTTCTAGCAGGAACCCAGGACAGTGAGATATTTGAAGTCATCGTTCGAGAGCGGGATAAGCCAATGCTCATCCTTCAGGGCCACTGCGAGGGGGAACTCTGGGCTCTGGCCTTGCACCCCAAGAAGCCTCTGGCTGTGACAGGCAGTGATGATCGCTCTGTCAGGTGAGGCTCCACTGTACCCTCATGGACTTCCTGGAGGTAGCATTGTTTTGTTGTTCAAATATGTTTGTGATTTAAGGATAAACCACAGCATAGGCACACACACTTTCTGAATGGAAGCTAAGGCATTTAGCTAGCTGGCTTCTTACCATGTTGTTGTTGTTATCTTTTTTGGCTCCATCTAAAGTCATGAAAATCTTTTCAAAAGTGAAAATGTGTGAATATCACTTAGGCTGTCTTCCAGTTGTCTTTTTAGTCCAAGAGAAGAGCCAAGCACACTGTTCTCCGGTAAGACAAGATTTCTTTCCCATTCATGTACTTGCTTTTCTGTAGGGGGGTTGCTCAGCCATTTTAGGATTTAATTAAACTCATTCTTCATGAGACCTTCAGTTCTGATTTTAAAGTTGTCTTCAATACATGAGCAAATTGTTTCTTTTTTGTAAATTCTGAAATGGGAATTTAGACATTGTCATCAAACAAAGGAGAATGCTAATTTTGGAGACAATGTGTAATTTTGTCAGGACTTGAATGGTTCTTGCTATGGGTCATTTGTTCTTTAAAAGTACAATATTGAATAAAATGATCAAATTAAGCAAGCCGCTAGTATTCTGACAACTGTTACCTTCATTTCAGACTGCAATGTGTTTAATAACCTTAAAGCACTCAACAACAACAAAATCCTTTCACAGGGAGGATTGAGAGTGATCACTTCATCTATCGATGTATTATTGTTTCTGAGCTTTAGAAACTAAAATAGAACCATGTAAACTATGCTAAAGGTCCCTGGTTTTTTTCCCCACTTACTCTATAGGTTTATATAGCTCTCAAAGCATAGGATGCTCAATTCCATGTTTTAGTTCCTACCAAATGTGTAAACCTCATTAATTTCAGACTGGACAGAAATAGTTACAGTTCCTTCACAAGCAACATAAATGTTTAGTTGCCATATGTACCTCTTGACTTTGTTTTCATGTTTTTTCTTTACTCTGAGTGCCTTCAAAGCATGCTAAATGGTGCCCAAAATTAACCAAATTCCTGTGACCAGTTCTTAACCATCCAATGGAAAAGGTTCATGAAAGTCCTTGGTTTTTATATTTTTACAGTGAACTCTCAGAATTGTAAATGTGGCTGAGGAGTTCTGGCTGCAGCATCTGTAGTATTCTCTCCTCAGCAATTAGTTAGGTAAAATATCTGAGTGTATTTTTGCAGAACTTTGAAGTAAGAAGGGTAGAAGCTGTTGGGAGAGATATTTAAATCAGTGACATTCAATCTGGCTTTTCTTAATCAGCCACCATGTTTCCGACTAGCCTAGGCCTGTGGCCATGAGCGGATGTAGGGTACCGCAGCTGCTCAGCTCAGGCCGTCTGCTTAGGCGGCCAGAGACATCAGCCCTGCCACCCGTGAGACACCAGTGTGGGAGATGGCTCTACCAATCTTGCACATTGTCTCCACAAAGCTGGGCTGTGCCCAGACCATCCCACAATCCATGTAGGCCCAGTAGGAAATGAGGCTCTAAAGCTTAAATATTAATCAAAGGCTTTATGTATTTGGTAATGCTCAATAACAATAGCCCACATAATTCTAGATGTTTCCCAATTAACTAACCTAGATAAGTTGTTACCCAGGACTGCTCTCGGTACATGCACGGTCGTCCATGGTCCTACATCTCTGTCTCTCTCTTGACTCACTCCTCCTCTTCCTTTTCCTCTTTCTCTCCTTATCCCTCCCACCTTAGCTCCTCCTACAAGAAGCCATGCTTTCTTGAGATATGCTTAGAAGCCTTGGAGAGATAGTACAACTGACTAGGGAGTGGTGATGTCTTTATCCTGCTAAAGGAAAACTTACATTGTTTAAAAATAGCACAAGGCTAAAGACAACATAGAGTCATGAAAAATGGATGAGGTATTGTGAGACTATCTGAAGCTTTAGGCTGAAGACTGAAAGCTTCCTGAGGGACCAGTCAGGCACTCACTGTGAAGCTCCTCGCCCCTCTGGATGGCTGGGTGCACCTAAGGAAACTGCCACTTGGGACTTATGTTTGTTTCAGAACTGCACATTCTTGGTCCTTCTAGTAGACATTCATTGTGTGTGAAAAGAAGACCATCTTAAGAAAGCCTTCACAGAGGCTGGATGCCCCAGTGTGGGGGAATTTGAGGGTGGGGGTTGGGAGTGGGGGGTGAGAGTGGAGGAGTGGAGGGATGGCAGTGGGTGGGGGCACATCTTCATAGAAGCAGGAGGAGGGGGGATGGGATAGGGGTTCCTGGGTGGGAAGGAAAATGGGGGAAGGGGATAACATCTGATGTAAATAAAATATCCAATAAAAAAAAGTGGGGAAAAGAAAGAAAGAGAGAAAGAGAGAGAGAGAGAGAGAGAGAGAGAAAGGAAGGAAGGAAGAAAGAAAGGAAGGAAGGAAGGAAGGAAGGAAGGAAGGAAGGAAGGAAGGAAGAAAGGAAAGGAAGGAAGGAAGGAAGAAAGCAGGCAAGCCTTCACAGGGCCAGAGAGGTAACTCAGCGGGTAAGGACATCTGCTGTCAGTCCTGATGACCTGCTCAATGCTTGGAAGTCACATAGTGGAAGGCGAGAACCAATTCAGCTTATTTCATCTCCACCACCATCACATCATAGAAAAATCTCTTACAGGGATTACAAAGGCCACAACTACAACTAACACAGAAGCTGTTACTTGTATATTGTAAATACTTCCTCTGGGTTCACTGAGCTTGGCGTACCTGGATTAAGTGTCTGGAGTAGGAACCCTATAGTAGTTTTGCCCAAAGTTCTGTGAACTGTGTTTGCCTCCTGGTCCGTATTTCTCCACCAGCAGCTGTCCTTTTTGGCTACTAGCCTTATGAAGCATTTCCCTATAAATAGTGGCCATCAGTACAGGCCTGGGGCTTTCGAATGATAACCATGAGTAAATTCTAGGGCATCTCAGATACCTCCTCTCACACCCCAGGGAAGCTAGCAAATGTGATGTGTGCTTCTGTCTACCTATGCTTAAGTACCAGCTACTTGAAGCTTTTCATGAATGCTTAAGAGAAACTAACAGTAACCACATATCCTGGCTGCATTTCTGTCAACTTGACACAAGCTAAAGTCATCTGAGAGGAATGAGCCACAGTTTAGAACATGCCTCCATAAGATTCAGCTATGAGGCATTTTCTTAGTGATTTGTGGGGTAGGGCCCAGGCTAAAGAGGGTGCTGCTATCCTTGGGCTGGTGGTCCTGAGTTCTATAAGAAAGCAGGCTGAGCAACAACCTGTGTGAGCAGCCCCCCTCCATGGCCTCTGCATCAGCTCCTGCCTCCAGGTTTCTGCCTTGCCTAAGTTCCTATCCTGACTCCCTTCAACGATGGACAGTGCTGCAGAAGTATAAGCTGAATAAAACCTTTTCCTCTCCAAGTTTCTTTGGTTGTAGTGTTTCATCACAGCAATAGTAGCCCCCATAACTAAGATACAGCACTAGCAGTTCCTGCCCTTGGAGCATGGTTAGCAGCCATTGGCATAAATATGGGACAATTTCTAATTTTCAAAGAGAAGACATTTTGCAAAGTGGTGTTTATATCTTCTGGTCTGTGGATCTCAAATCTTTGCAAATGTAGTTTCACCTCATATTTCTTGCTGAGTTTTTCAAACGATGAAAGTGGCCCAAAGATAGACAAATCACTTTCACAGGTTTTCTGACAGGCCACGGGGAAGGGCGCGGGAGTGAGGTGACCGTGTTCTTTACTATTGTCAGTGTGAAGAGCAGGCTTTCCTGCCCTGGCTGGTGGTTGGTTTGGTCTTTATTCTGCTTTGTTCTTGGTCCTTAGGCTGTGGAGTCTGGCCGACCATGCCTTGATCGCCCGCTGCAATATGGAGGAAGCAGTTCGTAGTGTATCCTTCAGCCCGGATGGATCTCAGTTGGCCCTGGGCATGAAGGACGGCTCTTTCATCGTCCTCCGAGTCAGGTACATTCAATACTGAAAATGGTACTTTGAGATGTTCCTTTGCTAAAAATCAAAGAGTATTCTGGTCATAAAATATGTCAGGTTGATAGGAAGTCCCTTACCTGTGACTCTGAAATCCAGAACACTGAAAATCCAGATGTGTTTGGTAAATTATTGGGATGTGAACGGAATCCAGGGACCTGACGTGAGTCTATTTACAGTCTTCAGTCTCTTCATAGAAATAATGTGTTGTTTGATTTGCTGCAAAAAAAAAAAAAAATACTGTTTTTCATGGAGAATGCTACCCCAGCCAGTATATTTAGAAACTCCTTAACACATTCTACATGAACCTTTCTAAAATCTAAGTGACCTCCCAAAGACATCTGAGCCCAAGGACTTGAAATGGAAGGTTGTGAGCTCTGTAGTTAAACCAGAAAAAAAAAAAAAAAAGAGGAAGAAACAATAAGGTAGCACCCAACAGCACTACATTATTATAAGTAAAACTTGAATCAAATTTATGTGCATGTAACTGGTACAGAAATGGAGTATTTCTTTTTTTAACAATTATGTATTTACTTTAAATTTTAACTAAGAATGTGGTGAAATGTCAAACTCTAGTAATTTTATCAAAAGTTAATAACAGTTTCATGTGATATTAAATTTTATCTAGGCAATCAGTATTTATCCAATACTTTCTACAAGTTTAGAGGAAGGCAGTTTATACTATGTGTGGTTTATCCATAAAGAAACTAAAAATGTTCATGTTTTGCTACAGAGCCTCATAATTAAAGGCAGAAAAGCCAATGTCTGAAGAGTGACATTATCTGATGTTCAGAGTCTTCATGCCAAACCACAAATTTACTCTAAAAATATACCAAAATCCTTCTAAATTTAGGCATCTTTCCCAGTACCTTAGGAAAAGTTGGATTTGAAAGCACAAAGCAGAAGTACACACTCAGGACTGTAAATAGAGCATCACATAATGCGGGCTACATCCTGACCCCAAGGAACAGAAGCTCCCCTGGTTTGGAATGTGTATGTGTATCTCCTGATTTAAGTGAAACTTCCTGGGTCAGCTGTCTCTGATTTCAAATGAGCAAACAAACAAACAACCCACCTAATCGTCTTACCATATTTTTGCACAATCACACATCCATCCATAAGTTAAACTCCATAAATAATAACTGTATCTTCAAAACTGACAAGTTAAGGAAAGCTTATAAAGTTGGCATCGAGCATGTCTCCAAATGAACATGCTCTGTAGTCCAAAATGGACCATGGAGAATTTTAGAATTTTTCCTGTCATAAAATTTTCATTTAATCAGAACTTTAGCATTAAGAGTCAAAGAATTCTGGTAGATAATTAATGTAATTCCTAGAATAGCACTTCACCTGCCATTAAAATTAATTGTGAGAAATAATACCTTTGTACATTACTTACATATGGCTTTAAATACAATCTCTGAATCCACTGTCGTAGTGTTTTCCTTGGTCTTTAGGAAATGATCTACTGTCATAATGAGGAAAAAAATACGCTACATCATGGTTCTGAGATGCTTTTCTATAGACCAGCTTAGCTGTCGATTTATAGATCACTAGCCGTGAGAGTCTCCCATTTGAGGTTGTTTAGAAACTCCGTTTACTGCATTTACTGGTTTCTCTTACTATTGTTTGCCATTTAGTATTTACAAAAAGCTTCGGTTTTCTTTTAAGGATTTCGACATATTCTTTTAACTTTAATATCATTTTTCTTTTTTATTTTTATACCTTAGCCAGTCTTCACTTATCTGCAAAGAAGGATGACACAGTATCTACTTGTAGATATTATTTACTGTGAGCAAAATGTGACTTAAGGGCTTGCTTGCAACAAGCTCTTAAATGTAGGATTAACTTGATGTTAATCAACAATGAAATAATTAAGCAAAGTAGTAAACATTCATGACACTTATGATAAATTATAGGAGGCCTAATGATAAAATAAAAGTGAATCCGATATGAAAAAAAAAAGAAATGGAGTATTTCTTGCTTTCTGACATCATACACTGTTTATGCTAGACAAAAGCCGCCATTTACCTGTGGAATTCCTTTGAATGAACTAGTTTTTCTCTTGAATTATCACTTTTGTAATTACAGGAAAGAAATACAGCTGTAAATTGAATGCGACATGTACAGGGTTGAGTGCTCTTAGGACAATTTATTACTCAGAATTCTCATTACCACCCACACACAACTCATTACGAACTCAATGAGCAATGTTTCTGCTCTCTGCTGAGTGATTGATGATAAGGTAGCTAATTACGAAACCTCCTTTTTGATAGAACTCTCAAGTGCAAACAGAAGAAAACTATGTCTCTATTTTATATTGTTACAGTACAGCATAATGTTCTGATGAATGGCAGCAGGAATGGGGATATTATAGGAAAGCAAATCCTGTCGCTGATGTGTTGGATGCACTGTTTTAGAGTTGATGACTCCACCTTCACTGGCTCAGGGGACCTGCAATTCATAATCCTGTCTCTAGTTTAGGGGGGAAGCAACCCCAGTGAGCTTTCAGATATGAGCAGAAATTAATCTTAACAGAATTTGACCAATTCTATGCTCTGGTGACTGACCACACATCCAAGAATGTATGACAGCACAAATTGCACTTGGTGGATTTTTTAAAAAGATGACACAAAGGAGGTTTGGCTGAATTTGAGAGGGGTTTGGAGAAGAGGATGATATAATCAAAATATGCTATGTATAAATTTTTCCAAGAATTAATAATTTAAGAAAGAATTTGACCAAAGAAAAGTAAAAAATATTTTAGTGATTTGGCATGTTCATTATGACCTTTCATGGTGAGAACTTAGAGATTGCATACCATTTTCACATTTCAAAAGCTAGTAATTTTCTTCTTTTTAGGCTTATTCCTGGGCTGGAGGGATGGCTTAGAGGTTAAGAGCACTGTCTGTTCTTCCAAAGGTCCTGAGTTCAATTCCCAGCAACCACATTATGGCTCACAACCACTTATAATGGGATCTGATGCCTCTTCTGTCATGCAGGATATACATGCAAATAGAGTGCTAATATACATGAATAAATAAAGACTCATTCTTTTAAAATAACAATAAGTATAATAGTTGTTTAATCTATTTTTCTCCTTGAGACAGGCTCTCACTGTGTAGCCCTGCTTGGCCTGAAACTTGGTATGTAGATGAGCTGGCTTCCAGCTCTCAGAGATTATACTGCCTCTGCCTTCCAAATGCTGGAATTAAAGGTGTATATCGTATATCAGCTCTTATTTCTAAAGCATAAACAGATTATTTTTATACTATTTTTTATTTTTACTTATTTTTACTCTAATTTTGATATGTTTTGCCTTCCTCCATAGCATATTTTAAGTGACTTTTAAGTCTAATTTTTAAATAAATATTTCAATAATATATAGTTAAACATGAAAACAAATATTTGTTGTGTAAAGATTTTTATATTTACCCTGAGGGCACAAAATATTATTTCAAATGTTTGTTTTAATTTTTATGAGCAGGATATAAGTTACAAACATGTAGTATCATTTTATGAATAGAAACATTTCAGTTCCTGTAGGATTTTTCTCACTTGTGACACACACCTTTTAAAATAAGTCTTGGGTTTTCTATTTCTCGATTCTCTGCTTGTCACTTTGTATTTTGTTCCTACAGAGATATGACAGAAGTGGTCCACATCAAGGACAGGAAGGAAGTCATCCATGAGATGAAATTCTCCCCAGATGGCTCTTACCTCGCAGTAGGATCCAATGACGGGCCTGTAGATGTCTACGCTGTTGCCCAGCGCTATAAGAAGATAGGAGAATGTAACAAGTCCCTCAGTTTCATCACTCACATAGACTGGTCTCTGGATAGTAAATACTTGCAAACCAACGACGGTGCTGGGGAGAGACTGTTCTACAAAATGCCATGTGAGTCCTAAGTAGATGACTATGCTTGTGGTAGGTGCTCATGAAGGCAAACCTGGAGCCACATGGAGAGGGGTAGAGAGTGGCCTGTGGCCTTAGGGTAAGGAGTGCTCTTAGGGAGACAAGATCCCTAAGTCAGAACCCTCAGAGAAAATGTTAGTGCGTCAGGTCACATTAATAATTTACATTAGGAAAACACAAGAAGACTTAAAGACAAAGCCTGCAGGGGGCATACATGCCTGCATTGTTCTAAGGGGTAAAGTGTATAGAGAGCAGCACCAAAGGCCCATTTTCATTATTTAGACTGACCAAAGCATGTCAGTGATACATGGTGAAAGAGGAAGACACACGGAGCTGTTAAGAGCATGCACAGAACTGCTTGCTATGATTCCAAGAACCAAAACCACAGCAAGTTCCTAAGTGGTCATTGGAGTGAGGAGGGCCTAAAGTGTGTAGTCACAGATGGTAATGTCACAGTAACTAGTCCAACTTGTGTCAATACAGATAGGTCTCAAAAGTGCAACGCTGAGCCAATAAATGCAAATGATATGCATAGTGGTCATTTATATAAAGTATTATGATATTAAAACAGGTTCACATATTATAGCCACTTACATACAGCAAAAATGGTTTTTAAATGTGTGGGAACACTTAGCAGTCAATTCAGGGTACTGGTTGCCTCTAAGGAAACAAGAAGAAATTAAAGTAGAGATGAGTGTCCAGTGGGTTTTAAGTGACTATAGTATGTTCTTAAAATTGTGTTATAAAGATATTGGTGAGGAGACTTATCACGTAAAGGCACTTGCCATGCAATCCTGGTGTACTGAGTTTGATCCCCGGAACCCACCCACACCCTTCCATACAGGTAGAAAGAGAGAATTGATTCCATCAAGTTGTACACACACACACACACATACACCATACACAAGCATGCACCCATGTGCACACATACCACAGTAATAGTAACGAATGATTTTCTATGATAAAGACCAGTAATATTTATTGGAACTCAGTGCTACAAACACTTGCTCCTTATAGTTCTCTGTCATCTTCTGCATAATTGAAATATTTCATCACTTTTAGAAAAAAAATGACCTGAAATAGTAGTCCTATGGACTTCCGTGTGGAGTCTGTGGCTGCTTCAGTCTGTCCAGCCTTTTGCTTTCTGTCCTTCTCTTTCCTCCATTGCCTTCCTGCTTTGCCACTTACATTGTTCATTGACAACTTTCTCAAAGAGCAAATAACTGAATGGCCACTGTACAAAATGTTCATGCTATTTCTATTAGTGTCTTGCACGTGCATGTCTGCAACAGAGATTAAGACAAAGGAATACGAGTTGTGTGTATGCCCTGTGCAGTCTGCTAGACAGTAGCATATGACTACCAAGCAGTCTTCATGGTTAAGTTTTTTGCATTCACCTTTGTAATCCAAAGAAATATTACCTCATCTTTATTTTAATGTTTGCAATTTATACTATACATTTATAAAATTTATATGCCCCTTTAAAAGTTAAAATTTTTCATTCCTAAAGTGTTTCTTTCTCATTTTCTTTTCTGTCACACACATTAGATATGTGACCATTAGGCAAATGAGTTTCTGCCAAGGTCCAACAGGAACAGGATGGTCTGTGGAACCACAGAGAACTTGAGACTGTCTCTGGGATCAGCTTAGAGCCTTTAGACAAGGGCTGAGGCCTCAGACCTGTGAGGATTGTAGTTCTCAGTGGCTGTGAGTGAGTTAGACCCAGGTCTGATTACCAGAGTCTTATTATCTGGTGAAATGTAGCTTTGTAAAATCCCAGTAAGCACAGTTTTTATTTGTGTTCACCTTGCAACTTTTATGAGATTCACCTGTCTTATGTAACAGAAATCTAGTGACATTTAGTTTGTAAGACTAAAATGTCACACACAACATAATGATGACCATATCATAATCTTTAATAATTTTAAATCACTAGTTATCTATGCTTCTCACACACATACCATGCCTGCCAACTACCTACCCTCTCCCCAATCCACTCTTCTTCCATTTCCCTTCAGAAAACAACAGGCCTCCAGGGATATCAACCAGACATAGTATATCAGGTTGCAGTAAGACCAGGCACCTCCCCTCATGTTGAGGCTGGAAGAGACAGCCCAGTAGGAGAAAAAGGGTCACAGAAGAGTCACAGATAGTCCCTGTTTGAACTGTTAGGTGTCCCACAAGAACACTAAGCTACACAATATGTACAGAGAATCTAGATTAGACCCATACAGGCTCCCTGATTGTCAGCTCAGTCTCTGTGAGCCCCTGCATTCCTGGTGAGTTGATTTTGTAGGTTTTCTTGTGGTGTCCTTGACCCTTCTGGCTTCTACAATCCTCCTCGTCCTCTTTAGCAGGATTTCCCAAGCTCCACCCAGGGCTTAGCTGTGTGTTTCTGAATCAGCTCCCGTCCGCTGCTAGACAAAGCTGCTCTGATCATGATTATGTTGGCTTCTTTAATGATTTTTTTAAAGAAAAGAATAAAGAAAACATAAATCTCAACTTCCAATAATTATATATTGTCTTGAAATTTTTATTGAAGTATTACTTATTTGGGAGGCTGAGGCAGAAGGAGTCAATGTCTGGGATCTGTTTTAGCAGTCTACTGAGGCTCTGCCACAAAGCAAAATATTAGACAGGATAAGGTGTGGGTGACTGGCAGAGCCCTGGTCTGGCATGTACTTCATACTTGGCTTTTTCATGTGTGGGAACATCTGGAGCACACTTGTCAGTTGGAACAAAATCACATCCTGCTCAGGGATGAGGCTGAAGTTCACGCTATCACTCTGTTATGGGTACTTGGCTTATTTCCAGTGTATTTACTGGCCCAGGCGGTGCAGCTTCTGTTGCCTCTGTAGCCTGCAGCAGTGAGATCGCTTTCTCTTCTGAGTCACTTCCTGGGATGCAATCCCTTGAGCAGGAGCTGGTCACAGATAATGCGCCAACTATACCCTCTCTGAGTCTGTGGTCATTTAAATGCATTCTTTGAGAATAGACAGTCCAGAAATTTTGGATATAGTTCAGAATTTTGGAGTGTCATTTTGAAAAGGTATCTGCTCCTCCGTTCTTTATGAGGATATATGCTTAATTGTATTGATTTTGAATTTTAAAATGGCATCTAGTTCATCTAGTTAAATATTTCCACTCGTTTGCTTTTGTGGCTTGTTTTTTTGGGGGGCCATCTGTGGACCTCACTAATCTGCTGGCAGAAATGGGAACTGAGCTATGTGTCTGGGCGCAGCCAGCCCACAGCCACCGTTAGGACGGTTATTCCACAACCAGATCCACTTAGCTCACTGTAACCCTGTGGATTCAGTGACTAGGACTTAAAAAATAAAATCCACTTGAAAATTGTAGAGCCAAAATTTTTGTTTAAGGCAAAAATCACTTGTAAGGGGCTGGGGAGATGGTCCGGTGATTAAGAGAACTTATGATCTGGTAGAAGACGTGAGTTTGATTCCCAGCACTGACAAATGGCTGATACCTTTACTCCAGGTCTGCTGTCTGATACCTCTGGCCCGTGGCCATTGCACTTACATGCACATACGTGAACATTATGTGTATCATTTAAATCTTAAAAATAAAGATAAAAATTTTCAAACTCCATTTATAGCCTTTAAGGCTATTAATTAAGGCAAAGTAGCACTTTCTGCTGAGACCTCAGTCCCTAGAACCCACACAGTAGAAGGAGGGTATCAAGTCCTGCCAGTTGTCTTCTGTCAGTCTTGAGAATGCATATAACCCACACCAATAAACTATGAAAACGTTTAAGGTAAGCTTGGCCAAGGTTTTAAAAGCCTAGCAACATGTTGGTGGCTCAGTGTTGACAACATGTAACTTAATGAAGTCACACAAATACAAGTACACTGTAGTGCACCTGTACCTTGGAAATTAAGGCCAAGGAGGTATCAATAGTTTGAGTTATTACATTTAGCAATAATAATTTCCTGTTCTTTTTCGCCTCTAAATTTTGAGCTGATGTTTTCTTTAAATTCTTTACAAAAAAAGTAACTAACTGAGTGAAGAGATCAGAACTTGCAGTTCCTCTGATGTATATATCTAATGAAGGTTTCAGACACTAAGAAAGGAAAAATGATTAAAATATATTAGAATATACTTCACATGTAAATGTAACATTATATTGACTATTTCAGCAGGGAAGCCTTTAACAAGTAAAGAAGAAATCAAGGGGATTCCCTGGGCCTCCTGGACATGTGTGAGAGGCCCTGAAGTGAGTGGAATTTGGCCCAAATACACTGAGGTTATTGACATCAATTCAGTGGACGCCAATTATAACAGTTCAGTGTTGGTGTCTGGAGATGATTTTGGACTGGTCAAATTGTTCAAATTTCCTTGTCTCAAGAAAGGTAAGCTGTCTGAGTGGGTGAAGACACTCCCTGGACACTCGATGCTGCTTAGTTAGGTAGATTTTCTTACCTTTTCCCCAGACAGGTCATTTTCTCGTGTCTGCATTTATTCTTCACCTGTTTTATATAGAACATGCTGCTAAGTCCTCTACTTTTGCTGTTCTATATGGTTTTGCAAATTTAAGTGAGAATTTGTTAAGAGTTAATATCATGAGACTTCCACACCTGTATTTCACATTTCCAAACAGGTTACTTATGTTTATGGGAAGAAATATTCATGATTTATATTGAGGTTTTTATTCCTTTAAAATATTATAATTTAACTTTTTGTTTGTTTGTATTTTTATTTTTCAAGAGAGGGTTTCTTTATGGAGCCCTGACTGTCCTGACATTTGCTCTGTAGACCAGGCTGGCCTCAACCTCAGACATCTGCCTGCCTCTGTCTTATGATTACTGGGACTAAAGGCGTGTGACACCATCACCTGGCTATAATTTAATTTCTATACATGAAAACAAAAGTAATCCTTCTTAAATATGATTAAGCTACAACTATGGACCCCTTGTCCCAGGACTACTCTTTCAAGACTGTATTAAGTGATTTAAAAAAAGAAACAAAACAGAAATTAGATTGAAAACAGCTTTCTGTGTTTTGCACTCCTTTGGAAGCATTGTAAGCTTTGAAGACTATGATTGTTGCCGTCTAACAATGAACTGTGCCCAGAAAACTGGATCTTAGCAGAGTGGTCAGCAGGGGTGTGTTGCTGCCTGAAAACTTTTCACTTGAACGGTTTTTTAAGACAAACAGGGAAGGGGATGAATGGTGCAATCAGAAAGTACTTCTCAGCTATCTGGCAGTTTTGAAGCAGTGACAGTTACAGGACAACATGAGACACAAAATGCATCATGAAACCACCATGACTCGAACTGGACAGAATGGACATCAGCTCAAAGTGCTTGAAGCACAAAAAGGCCAGTGTGCCAAATTCAGGACCTCCCCATCCTTCCTAGTGGACCTTGTGGGTAATAGGGCATAACTTGTTTAAATTAATGTGCATTTGAGAAGAAGTTATGTTAGAAAGTATCTGGGAATTCAGAATTAAGGAAGATCATGGATGAGGTTAGAAGCAACTTACTGGTCTCCAGTGTCAGGACTCAGGAATAACATGGAGTCAGTGAGAGTTGGTGTCTTCTCTGTATCTCCAGATCTCAGAAACAGAGATGTGTGTGAGGGTCTGTTATGGGAGCTGGAGATGATGTGAATAGTGCTGACAAAATTAAATACCCATGAGTAAATCATAACCCTGTGGGGAGACGCACAGCAGGCAACAGAATGAATGAGGACAAGGAGCCCGCAGGGTGAGCATGAGGAGAGCGGTGGAGGCTTCCTCAGCCACTTACTCAAGTATCAAGGTCCTCAGAGCAACCCAAATCCTACCTTGTGTGGCACAGTTCATAAATCTTGCAATTTTGCCTGTGCCCTTCAAGCTTTTGTGCCAAAACTACCAGGAAAAGTTAATAAGGATATGTGGGAGTCTTGGTACAAATAAAAACTGATAAAACTTACAACTCCAGACACCATTATCAAATGGTTTTAGTTGCTGAGCCTGTAGAAAGACAAACCTGAGCAGAGGCTGATGACTATGAACCAGCGTGGAGGACCAAGCAAGCTTATAATTTTCTACTGTGAGCAAACAGACCTCACAACCAAGCCAATCTGACACATTTGGAATTACATGTATCTATATATTCTATTGTGCAGAAATTATATATAAGTGTTCTACAGTTGAAAATCACTGAATTTATATTTATACATAGCCTAAGCAATTTGTTTTTCTCATATCAATAGTTTTCAAATCCTTTAGAAGAAGTAAGACAATTTTTCCTGATGCCATGTAGATTGAATCCTGTGTGTGACTTCCCATGCAATGGCAAACTGTTGTAAATTAGGAAGTTACATAGCCAGTTTAAGTCTTTGAAGGATTGCTTTATTATTGTATGAAACAGGTTTTTTTTAAGCATTCATCTGAGGGATGCTGTGTCTAGAATAGGTATCAAGAGGTGACTGGTTTAATTACAGCTGAAAGTTTTGTTGCTAGACAGGGTTAGGACTAGAGGGAGGTGAAAAAAAAACAGAATCATTGAGAATATCTCCTGAGTTTCGGGCCTGAGCAGCCAGATTGAAAGTATCAGTGTAACAGGAAATGAGAGAAGGAAAAGGTGCTTTTGTAGGGGGTAAGGGAGGAATGGCTGGCGAGCCCTGCAGTCTGCTTCACCCAAGTGTTGAGGTGCCCGTTAGACACTGAAACAGATCTGACTCTTGTCCCTCCAGGGAGCTCCCAAGGTTAGCAATAAACACTTGCTAGTCAGATGCAAATGGAAAGATTTTTAAGCCATGGAAGAGGTCAGTAGAGAAGAGCTGACGGCTGAGACGCAAGCCCTCCTTGGACAGATATCCAAAGGGAAATCTCGTACAGTCACTGCTTCTCCCCAGAAAAGCTTTGGCAGAGGATATGCCTCAGCCTACTGGACAAATATGTGTTCACTGCTGGGCTAGAGTATGAAAGTGCTTCAGTACATCAGCACAAGTCCCCGCTGCCGTGGAAACTGTTCCACGGAGTGAACACAGTGGATATGGAACTACAGCAATATGTCTGATGGTCAGACATGCTGTCAGGAAAAACGAAGAGGAGAATGCTGTACAGAGCAGCATAGCGCTGCTTCCACTGTTGGGTTTCATAGATTAGACACCTGCAGGATGAGAGAAGCCGACATCCAGATATCCTAGGAAAGAGCATCACAAGGAAACTGCAGCAAATACAAGACTTGGAGACAGAGAGCGCTTTGGCAGGCTTGAGGAACTGCAAAGGGGTCTGAAGCAGAGATGGAGGGGAGATGGGAGAAAATAGGGTCAAAGCAGTAAGGGCTTAATTATCGGTGACAATGGTTCCAGGCTACTGGGCGTGTATTGCTTATCTATTGTTGAATAGTAACTCTACCTCCTAGTTTAGAAGCTAATATGGGAAATGATCTCACAGGCATTTGTAGAGGAGGAGGCTGAGGTAGAAATGGGATGGGGGTGGGGAATTACTGAGCATCCTACTGGGTGGTTCTAGTTCAAGGTCTCTGCCATGACTTATAGTCGTCTGGAGACTAGGACCAAGACCAGAAGATCTGTTTCATTTCACAGATGTGACTTTCCACTGGAGGCCCCAGTTTCTTGCTCTAAAACGCTCCACAGACTATTTGTGTGTCCTTAGGACATGGTATGGCCCAAGAGAGACACCAAGAAGGAATCTATGATGACTTCTGCTTCTTTGACATCACAAACTTACTTTTGCTACTTTGGTTTGAATTCTACTAATTTAGTCTTCATTTTTGTTTTTCAAGACAGAGTTTCTCTGTATAGCCAGGCTGTCCTGGAACTTGTATTGTAGACCATACTGGCCTCAAACTCAGAGATCCACCTGCTTCTGCCTTCTGAATGCTGGGATTAAAGGTGTGTGCAACCACTACCTGATGAATTCTACTAATTTATTTTATTTATTTTATTTATTTTATTTATTTTTGGTCATCTTCATAATCCACTGAAGAGACAGGTTAAGTGATCTCTGTGGAAAGAAAAAGCTAGCCCCGTATTTCAGGATCTATAGAGATATAGGAGGAATGTTTTATTTAATTTATAGGAACTGCCTGCTTTAAGAATGAGTAAGATATTAATTCTTACATTTGTTTTTTTAGAAACATTGAAGCTGTGAGCATTAGTTAGAATAGGTTTAACTGATCATTTAGCTGTAGAGCTTGAATTTGAAAGACACATCTTCAGACTAATGCATATACCAATGCATAAAGGAATAACTGAAGTGTTTTGGGGTTACGTGACTCCTTATTGTAATGTGTAAGACTGGAACTGCTTCTGGTATATTGAAAATTTTTACTTGATGTGGAGAGGAATGTGATTGCTTTTTAAAATAATGATTTAAAAAACATAATTAATTTCAAAATACCGTTTCAGGAGCCAAATTTCGAAAGTATGTGGGCCACTCTGCACATGTCACAAATGTCCGTTGGTCTCATGATTTCCAGTGGGTGTTGAGCACAGGAGGAGCCGATCACTCTGTTTTCCAGTGGAGATTTATCCCAGAGGCAGTCAGCAGTGGCACGTTGGAAACCACACCCCAGGGTAAACAATAGTCAGAACTTTTCAATGTCTTCCTTTGTCAGAAATCATTTCAAAGAATATTCCTAGTACCTGCTCTGGAGCTAAAGAGATAAGGTGCTTTTTAAAAATCCTTACATATATATATATATATATATATATATATATATATATGTGTGTGTGTGTGTGTGTGTGTGTGTGTGTGTGTGTGTGTGTGTAAAGAAACTCTTCTGAGGTGCTCAGTAGGTATGAGCACTTGTTGCTCTTGCAGACCAGGTTTCCGTTCCCAGCACCCACATGGTGGCTCAAGACCATTCCTGTCACCAGCTCCAGGAAATCTGACACCCTCTTCTGGCCTCCAAAGGCACCAGGCATGCATATAATATACAAATACGCATGCAGGCAACACACTCATACACATAAAATAAATGTAAAGAGAAAGGAAAAAATTTTGGAGATTATCATAGGTCGGTTAAGGAATGTTCATTGAAGGGTTTTGCTTAAACAAAGCTCAGTCTATCAATTGAAGGCTTAACACTGGAAAAGTGGCTTTTGGGGATAAGGTGAAAGCACACACTTCAGCCCTCAGGGAGACGAGGCAGTGGCCTGCTCAGCCAGTGTATGAGGTGATAGGGAACTTCAAGGTACAAGATAAGGGAATAACACATAGCCTGCCACATGAAACCAGGGGATCCACCTCCATGGTCTTTTTATTTATATCTATTTGAGGTGTCCATGGGGAGAAGCCGAAGGAAATTTACAGTGATATGAGTCAGTGTGCTCACCCATATGATTCTGTAGGGACTTGACCAGGACAGCCTTTAGAGCTTGGTGGGGATGCTTAAAAATAAAGATTTTCGTGATGGTAATAAGTGCTTGGAGTTTTCTTTAGCCTTACCTTTGTCTTTGGTAAATCCTATACTTTCTGATTTTACAAAGTAAGATTTAAAATCTAGAAATCATACTATCTAATTTTAAAAAAAAGAGAGAGAAAAGAAAAGAAGAGAAAAGAAAAGGGAGCCAGATATGGTGACACATGCCTGTAGTGCCAGCACTTGAGAAGTTGGGCTAGCCTTGGGAATTCAAGGTCATTCCTGGGGCTAGCCTTGGGAGTTCAAGATCATTAACTAGGGCTAGGCTCTGGATGTCAAGGTTATTCCTGGGGCTAGGTTCCAGAGGTGGAGGTCATCCCTGGGGCTGGGCCCTGGAAGTCAAGGTTATTCCTAGCTACATATCAGTTTCCAGGCCTAAATTAAATGAAAACTATGACAGAAGCTTTTTACTTTGCTAGGGTTTAAGAAAAAAAACCTACTTGAAAAACTACTTGAAGTGCCTTTGTGATCTTTAACATCTCACTATTTTCTGTTCTAATGGGTTCTGTCTCTGCAGCAGGTGGTGCCGACTCCTACAGTGAAGAATCTGATTCAGACTTCTCTGATGTTCCAGAACTGGACTCTGATATCGAGCAAGAAACTCAGATCAATTACGATCGCCAGGTCAGTAAAGAGACAATAAAAACTTGGACCCCATTGCACTTTAACACTGCCCTAGAAACAGATAGAGCAGAAGAACAGAACAAAAACGCAACAATAATTTTAAAAAATGTTCATATCTTGCTTTTGGATGCAGGTTAACAATGACATTTATCATACTATTAAGTATTTAAGTGAAGGGCTGGAGACATGGCTCAGTGGATAAGAACAGTGGCTACTTTTCCATAAGACCTGGGTTCAACTCCCTGCACCCACATAGTGACTTATATCCATCTCTAACTCCAGTTCCAGGTGATCCAGTATCTTCTCCTGCTCAGCAGGTGCCAGTCGTACATGGAATGCGCAAACATGCTTGCAAGTAAAACACTTTTACACATTAAATTAATTTTTTAGCTAGGCAATGGTGGCACAATCCTAGGAGTCCAGAGGCAGAGGCAGGCAGATCTCGGTGGATTTGAGACTTGCTTGGTCTATTTATAGTGAGTTCCAGAACTGCCAGGGCTGTTACACAGAGAAACTCTGTCTCAAAGGAAGGAAGGAAGGAAGGAAGGAAGGAAGGAAGGAAGGAAGGAAGGGAGGAAGGGAGGGAGGGAAAGAGAGAAAGAAAGAAATAGAAAAAGAGAGAGAATAATAGAAGGAAGAAAAAGAAAAACAAACAAAAATTAATTTTTTAATTAAGTGTATGGGAGTTTCAAACTTGTCAAGAGAAATCCTGAACATTTGAGTCTTTTAATTCATATGAAACTGTATTGTATGCATACTTACATAATTATTATTTTGCAAAGAAAAATGCATGTAAAGTGCAAGTTTTTCTCATTTTCTTAGCAAATCATAACAATGTCTATTTGTCGGATGGGTATTCTTCAAGAATGGTATTCTGCATAAGAGCTGTTATCTTCATTTCTTGCTTAACTTAGACAGCCATTATCTATTTATTTAAAATAAACCCAATTACAGTGTCTCCAGTAAAAACTTACTTCCGGTATAAAAATTGGTTAATTGAATCCAGTTTTTCTTCCACAAAAGTTAATATCATTTTAACAGGAAGAAAGGACTGTTAAAGTAATGCTTCAAAGGAATCTTGACATAGTACCATATCAGGATGATAATTGCTGGATTCAATTCTTCTTTCCTTTGTATAGGAATAGTATTTTATCCGATAAAATGTAGAGGTATTGGGGCTGGAGAGATGGCTCAGAGTTTAAGAGCACTGGCTGTTCTTCCAAGGGTCCTGAGTTTAATTCCCAGCAACCACATGGTAGCTCACAACCATCTATAATGGGGTCCAATGCCCTCTTCTGGTGTGTCTGAAGACAGCTACAGTGTACTCATATACATAAAATAAATAAAGTTTTTTTTTTAAAGTAGAAGTATTTGTATAAGTAATATGTGTTTATAGGTGAAACACATTCTACACATGAAAATGGAATGAATAAGATAACAGGCAGGTCCCAGATACATAACTGTCAGTGTTACCCAGGGAGATGTACCAGATAGGCCTATGACTGCTACTACACAGCAACTGTCTTCGCATGGCTGATCCAAATCCAGGCGGGTTAGTTCAGTGGCTTGCCCACTTCCATGTGGCTGCTGTTTTAAGATAATGCTGACCTGGACTTCTCTCTATGCACTTCTAACGTGACTCCATAAAAGCACTGAATTTACTGCTTTTCTTACTATATTCATTTCTTTCTAATTCCATGTTGAGAAAGTCTGATTAGTATAAAGACAGTGCAGCTGACCATTCAGATCAACCTCATAATTAGATCACTTTGTGAACCGGTAAATGTATCACGCAGTATAAAGCACAAAAAAAGATTTGGAAGAAAACTAACAGCGAGAGTATTACACAAACACTAAGCAGCACGCCCAGGAGAAAGGATGCTTAAGCAGAGAGCCTAAGCTCTGGACGGTGCCACTTTTTTGTTGGAGGGCTTTTATTTAATGTTGCTAGGAAACAGTGGCACGGCATGCCAGTGAAATTCGGGCCTTGGGCTTGCTTATTATCTGTGACTTATTTTTCAGTGTTTCTACATACATTGATTTAAGTTACTCCTGAGGAGAGACTTTTATTCTGTTCTACATATGGGAAATTGAGGCCCATGATGCTATAACATATGATGATCTAAGCAGTAGAAATGTCCCAGAATTCAGTGCTCTGAGATAAATAGTTGATGCCTGGTAAAAAAGAATCATGCATTCAGATGAATAATTATCTTTAGACTGAGAAGGGCGGTTTACTACGTCTAAGACAGATGAAATCATTTCTGCTTCCTTTTTGGAGGCTTAGGCCGTGTCCTAAAAGGCTATACTGCCTCATTTTTCAGTAATATAGTTGATCAAATTGTTGTAGGAATTTTTCTGTCTGACACAAGTGCTAGTGGACTGAGACCAGGACAGCTTTGATACTGGGTCCAGTTTATAGTCTCAGTTATATCCTAAAACCACACGGTGGGGCAGGCAAACAATCGAAATTTAACAGAAGCGAACTCAGCCGTCAGCATGTTAAAGGCCTATGATCTCAGCTGTTCCTCCAGGTCATTCTGTTCCAGGTAGCAAGTAAAGTCACACTTCACAAATGTGCAGTACAGGCAGTACTTAAGTGATCAATAAATCAGTATCTAATAATTGATCTTTTCCTATCTCATTCTACTTCAAGATGAAAAGTTTCTTTCCTGAAGATGAGAAATTACTAATAAATTGGTTTTTTTAAAACATAGTTAAAGTATTTTTTGAGAATCAAACATGAAAAAGGTAAATAACAGATTTAATTTTTCATGTACATTTAAACTGTAGAAAATACTCTTTTAACAGCAGTCCTTGAGTCTTGGTTGAACCTGTAGAGTATTTCAGACTCGGATCTGCAAAATTCATGAAGCCAGGAAAGATAAAAAACTACAAAGAGTCTGAAGACCACTCCACCTGAGTATCCATCCCATGTGCAGTCACCAAAGGTAGATGCTGATGTGGAAGTCAGGAAGTGCATGCTGATAAGAGCCTGATATGGATGTCTCCTCAGAGGCCTTCAAGAGTCTGACATATTCAGAGGCAGATGCTCACAACTAGCCATTGAACTGATAATGGGGTTCCCAATGGAGGAGTTAGAGTGAAGGCCATTGGAGCTGAAAGGGTTTGTGGCCCCATGAGGAGAGCAACAATACCAACCAACCATAGCTCCCAGGGTCTCAGCCACCAGCCTGGGAGCACTTAGGGAGGGATCCAGGGCTTCAGCTGAATAGTAAGAGTGGAGGGCCCTGCTGGGCATAGGTGAAAGAAGAGATCCTTGACCTCATGAAGGCTGGACGCCCCAGGGGGTGGGAATTTTGAGGGTGGGAAGGTGGAGTGGGGGGGGTAGGTAGGGGTTACATCCGCAGAGAAGAAGGAGGAGGGGTGGGGGGATAGGGGGTTCCTGGGTGGGTGGGGGATGGGGTAAGGGGACAACATATGAAATGTAAACAAAACGTCCAATTAAAAAAAAAGCAAAAAAAAAAAACTACAAAGAAAAATTCCAGAGAGAAAATGACTGAGAAAGCTCCCGTTTTACAAACATCGGAGTCATAAAAAATGCCTTGCCCTATGGAGTTAAATATATTTAATTAATAATTTGTTTTCTTTCTTATTTACTAAAACATCAACTTCATTTATTTTCTGAATATAATTACTTAAGGAAGCAGTGTCAATCAAGGGTGGGGAGAAGAAATTATTTTACATCTCAGGTATTTGAAAGATTTCATGTTAGTTTTGCTCTGTTAGGGGAAATGATATTGGTCTTATGTTACATAAAACCCACATTGTAGCGAAGCAGTGCCAAGACTCTGTTTAGAAGCCTGAGGAGGGGAACTGGCTAAAGATTTCTATTGTACTTGTAGGTTTACAAAGAAGATCTACCTCAGCTAAAGCAACAAAGTAAAGAGAAAAACCACGCAGTGCCATTCCTGAAGAGGGAGAAGGCTCCCGAGGACAGCCTGAAACTGCAGTTCATACATGGGTAGGTAGCTGGCCCTGGGGACCCTGAGTTTCTTCCTCTGTCTCTGCCAAGCTTGTCATCAGTCAGTCTTACTACAGCCCCAAAAGATCCTTCTTTAAAATGCCCCCCTCTCCAGGTTGTACCCATCCCCTCACTGAGGCCTCAGCTGGCTCTGTCCAACTTTCCTGGGCAGCACGTGTTTGACACGGTTCTCAGGACCTTGCCATCACCATGTCCACACAGCCCACCCCTCCAACCCTGGGCTGTGTTTTCCTGGATCTACCCAAGGACAAGGATGTCTTCAGATATTTTTTTCACGTGCACAAGACACCTGTGTATTTTCACTATCAGCTTAAGTGGCCGAGAAGAATGAAAATGTATCTGTTACAGTGTAAATACCTCAGTCATTTCAATGTAGCCAATAGAATCCAAATACTGTGCTTATTTTTACTGTTATCAACTTTGAAAGCACAAGGATAACTATTTCTATTACGATGCTACTTTCCATCATTCATGTTTTATGTAAACTTTTATATCCATTATAGTTATCCCATAAATTATGCTTAATATATGTTGTGAAAGTCTTCAGGTACTGTATCATACCATCTACAAGAAAATGAAGTCTAAACATGGAAACCAGTGCTCAGTAGGGCACATACATGCTCACAGTACACATGTGCAAATGTGTACATGTACATGCAAATACTAACTAAAATGTAAAAAGGAAATAATCTAAGACAACATGGCTTGTCTGAAATGAGCCGTGCTCAGCATGTAAAACAAACTTCAGTTTTAAAGATGTGGCAGAAAAACAGCAGACTATCTCACCAAAATGCTCGTCCATGCTGTTACGGTGATTTAAATGCAATGAATTACAGGTTCTCAAAACAGGTTAATTTTTTTTTTTGAGGCAAAGGCTTACTCTGTAGCTCAGGCTAGCCTCAAACTTGTAGAATTCTCCTGCCTCAGTTTCCTTCATGCTATGCAATGAGAAAATGCTGTTAGCTATTTGGCTCACATATTTCTGTTGGACAGTACTACTGTTAATTTTTAAATTCTGTTATTACTGGAAAGCTGAGCAAATCAAATATTTATACTACATATTGATGTATTTAATTGTTAAGGACAGAAAACTTTATTTGGACATTATTTTAGTAAGATAACGTATATGTGTGTAGGTCAGAGAGCATCATCAGCTGTCTCCCCCAGGTGTTGTCCACATCTGTGGCTCTCAACCTTCCTATGCTGCAACCCCTTAATACGGTTCCTCAAGTTGTGGTGAACTCAGCCATAAAATTATTTCATTGTCACTTCATAGCTGTAATTTTGCTACTTTTAGGACTCGTGACGAGAATATTTTTGAAGCTAGAGGTCTCCCTAAGGGGTCGCAGCCCACAGGCTGAGAACTGCTGCTCCATATTATTTTTGAGGCAGAGTCTCTTACTGCACCTGAAGTTTACTCCATGGCTGGGCTGGCTGGCAGTGTCTGTGGCCCATGGCTGGGGTTTAAGCAGTGAGCACTGACCACAGCACGTAGCTTCCTTCTTACATGGGTGCTGGGAACCCAAACTGAGGGGCTCAGGCCTCACCAACAAATGCTGATTGAAGGAGCCATCTTCCTAGCCCATAAGGCTTCTCGGTTCAGATAGATGTATGTATGTTATTTATGGATAAAATGTGGCAGAATTTAGCACCCAGTCTAGTCCCACTTTTCAGTTATGTTTAAAAGATGAAGGCATTGAATTGATTGCCACAGATAAACATCAGAGAACAAAATGCCCACGTTTTCCAGTTCTGTAAACTCTCCTGTTATAGGCTAAACATAACATTTTTATTTTGATATCATAAAGATGCTAATTCCTTGATATTCTTCCATACAGTATCTGTTTAGTTCTATTGAACAAAGACTTAGCACAAGGTTTACAAAATGATGCCCTGTCCAATAGCGAAGATGTAGTCGCCAGTTATTCACATTTCATCCCACCACTTACTCGGAAGGCAGAGGCAGGCAGAGCTCTGCACATTTGAGGCCAGTCTATGAGTTAAGTTCTAAGACATACAGAGCTACCCAGTGAGAAGGGGGAAAAGGAATTATTCTTGAAAAAGGGAAAAACCAGTTATTCAGTTGTATTTGGAATTGTTTTTTGGCACCCTGGAGGTGCCATGCCCCCAAATCACATAGTAGGTGGAAGATGGAGACAGAGCAGAGCCTCGCTCTCTACATGTCACAAGGATTGGATCGCTGATCTGTTGGCTTGGTTTGAAACAGAGTCTCATGTAGCCCAGGCTGGCCTGAATATTGCTACATAGCCGAGGATGACTTTCTGATTTTTCTATCACTTCTTCGAAAGTGCTAGGTCTGAAGGTGTGCCCTGTGAACTCGTGACCAACGATTGCTTTTAGCAAAGAACACAGATAGGTTGAAGGTCTGGAAGTAGATTCTATGACAATAATCAGTCTCCACGTGCCTTTACTTACACACTTCACATCAACACAGTTGCTTTGCCTCAACAATTCCTGCTCTATTCATGTGCTGTTCCTTCAACCGCTGTGCCTCTTGGACCTGTGCTTCAGTTACAGAGGCTATGACTGTAGAAACAATCTGTTCTACACGCAAGCTGGAGAAGTGGTGTACCACATTGCTGCGGTTGCTGTGGTATACAACAGGCAACAGCATACCCAGAGGCTCTACCTGGGGCATGATGATGACATTCTCAGCCTGACCATCCATCCGGTGAAGGACTATGTGGCTACTGGACAGGTATGTGTCTTTCCTCAATGACCAGAACCTAGCAAAAGGGAGAGGGTATTTAGTTTCTAATCCAGTTTACCTGAAATAGGAAAAATGTCTTTGGTAGGAACAAACCTAAGACATGAAGGTTCTGAGAGCACTGAGAAGGCAGGGGCAGGGCAAAGGCCATGACAGAATAACAGCAAAGCATACACTTAGAGAGATGCCTTCGAAAGTCCCCTAACAGGAAGCCATGTGCAGGACAAGAATCTGCCAAAACCCAACTTGAGGCCACAGTGAGCCTCTTAGAAGCTTTAAGCTAGTTTCTTCATCTGGAAAATACTGGGTCCGACAAGGTTCTTTCCAGGGATCTCCCTACTTACAGATAATGTGTGTGGCTTTATTTCTGAGTTGTTCTTGACCCTAAGAAGCCATGCTGTTTTCAACACTGTGAATGCATGATTAACAATTCATCCTGTTATGTAGGTTGGAAGAGACCCTGCTGTCCATGTGTGGGACACTCAGACTCTAAAATGCTTGTCATTATTGAAGGGGTACCATCAGAGAGGAGTGTGTGCTCTGGATTTTTCAGGTAAGCTCTCACCAGTATCATAATATATGAGTCTGATTAAAAACAAACAAAAGGCCTCCTACTCATTTGAGTTCTGTTTGTAATGAGGTAAGCTCTTTGCATGCAGCCTCCCATGAGTCTGGAAGCTGTATGTGAATGCCTCACCAAGAGAATGTGGCCTTTAGTTTGCACATTCTTTCCTTATCACTTTTTTTCAATAATTTTTTTTTTACTAACTTTACATCCCAACAGAAGCCCCCCTCCTCTCCTCCCAGTCCTACCTTTACAAACCCCTCCCACCATTACTCCCTTGACTTCTCAGAGAAGGGGAAGCCCACTTTGAGTACCATCTCACCCTAGGACATCTAGTTCCAGCTAGGCACATGCTTTCCCACTAAGACCCAACCAGGCTGTCCAGGTAGAGGGGAAGAGGATCCAAAGGCAAGGAATAGACACTGAGGCAGCTCCCGCTCCACTGCTTAAAAGACCCACGTGAAGACCAAGCTGCACATCTGCTACAATTATGTAGGGGGCTAGGTTCAGCCCCTGCATCTCTTTGGTTGGTGGCTCAGTCTCTGTAAACCCCCTGGGCCCAGGTTCTTGTAGTGTCCTTGATCCCTCCGGCTCCCTCAATCCTCCCCCCACGCCCCGGCTCTTCCACAGGACTCCCTGAGCTCCGCCTGATGTTTAGCTGTGGGACTCTGCATCTGTTTCCATCAGCTGCTGGATGAAGCCTTTCAGGGGACAGTTATGCTAGGCTCCTGTCTGCAAGCAGAGCAGAATTATCATTCTCTCTCACATGGGAGAGGTCACAAGTTGGGACACTCATTGGTTGGCTGTTCCCTCAGTCTCTGCTCCATCTTTATCCCTGCACATCTGGTAGGCAGCACAGTTTTGGGGTTGAAGGTTTTGTGGGTGGGTTGATGTCCTACTCTCTCCATTGGAAGTTCTGTGGCTATAGGAGGTGGCCACTTCAGTCTCCATACCCCTTGCTAGGATCACCCCCATAGACTCGCCATGGCCTCCCCTGTCCCAGGCCTCCAGCTAGTCTCAGAAATGCCCCCCACCAATTTCTATTCTCACTCTCAGCCCTCTCCCACCCCACCCTCTTCCTGCACCTGATTGTCAACCAGTAACCCTCTTCACCCCTTCTCCACCAAGTTCCTCTCTCCATCCACCTCTGTGACTATTTTTGTTCCCCTTCTGAGTGAGAATCACACATCCTTTCTGGGGCCTTCCTTATTACTTAGCTTCTTTGGGTCTGTGGATTATAGCTTTGTTATCCTGAAATTTATGGCTAATGTCTATAAATTATAACTCATGTTATAAGTGAGTACATTACATGGATGTCTTTCTAGGTCTGGGTTACCTCACTCGTGATATTCTCAAGTTTCAGTACTCTCCCAAGTCATCACCTGGAGTTCACATTAAGCTCTGCATCTGCTTGAGTGATTTGAAATCAAGAACAGCCGTTGCTACAGAAACTCTTAACTGCAAGCATCTTGCAGTGATGAAGAACATCGAGTTTAAGCCAGACATGTTGATTTTCACTTCTAACTGCAGTCATTATGAGGCCTAGGCAAGAAGGGACAGGAAGCAAGCCAGCACCACACAGTGAGTTCCAGGCCAGCCTGGAATATAGTGTGGGATCCAATTAGAAAACAGAAACAAGATCAGTTCCACAGTTTGTCTCCAAATAAGTAGGGGCACATTGCTTCTGACTTACACTAGAAAGAGCTAGTTCTAGAAAGAGCTACAGATCTGCAAAGTGCCACTTTATAAAATTGATTGGAAACAAATTTCCTATTTGGAAAAAAGAGTTTCCCAATTAAACTGTGAACTCAACACTATAAGAATCCTACTTGTAGATGGTGCTGTCTTTAGAGTAAATTTGCTTGACGCTAGAATTATGTAAGGGAAGTCTATCACAGGAGCTAGAGAGATGGCTCCAGAGTTAAGAGCACTAGCTGTTATTTTAGAGGACTGTGGTTCAGTTCTCAGCACCTACATGGCAGCTCATAGCTCTGTCTGTAACTCCAGTTCCATGGGATCCAACCCTTTTCTGGCCTTCACAGGCACTAGGCATGCACGTGGTGTGCATAAATGTATAGGGGCAAAAGACCCACACACATACAATGAAGAAATCATTTTTTAAAAAAAGTATTATAGATGTTACCAACTAGACAATTTAAAACATTTCATTGTATAAATTGGTAAATAGAAAAGACAATCCTAAGTTTTTTAAAGTAAAATTGATTGTATAATGTCTTTTTTCTAAGTAGCCTTCAGGAGTTTCACATGCCCAATAGTGGTAACTAGATTCTAAGACTGCAGTCTCTTCCTTTTGCCCCTCCCTGTCTGTCCCTCACTTGTCCTCTCTCCCCCTGGTCATGCTGCTTTAATGCTCTGGGACCATGCCTCACTCACAGAGCCCTTGACCAGCGTCAGCACTCCAGGAAACAGAGGAAGGTGAAGTAGACGAGGAAAGAGAGAGAGGAAAAGGAAGAGGTTGAGAATAAGGAGAACATGTGTCAATCAGTGATGCTGGGCTGGGCTTTTTTAAAGAACGTGTTAATGTTGCTCTCAGTCCATCCTGTTCATTTTTGGAGTCTTCTGGAAGTACAGTTGCCATCTCTACCATAGATATCCTTGGGCTACTTGACTTAGTGTTGTACCCTTGGATGGAAGTTGATGGCATTAGCTGTTCTTGGCAGCATTTCACCCACTAGCCCGTCATGTTTCCTCACTCCTAACTGCAGTGTGCCTGTCTCTTTCTGCTCGTGTGCTTTATTCAGGGTCCCATGTGTCAATTCAAGTCTTGAGGAGCAAGATAGGCTTCTTCTCCTCCATCCTGCCTGGCAGAGGTAATGTGCCTCTTGTGTCTCCTGCAGCTCACTGTTGAGAGCTTCCACAGAATCTGTCAGGGGCCATGCACTGTCATTATTTGTGCCAGCATCTCTGTATCCCGCACAGACTGTGGATTTGGGTGTTGAGGAGAGCCCAGCTCTCTCTCCCACAGTATATGTGCTGTGGGTAGAGAATCTACTTTAAAGTATGTTACAAATGAATGAACACACAGGGTTTTGTTTAATGAGCTTTGTTCTGCTTCACATTGCAAATCATGTTTGGGAGAAAATTGTCTACTTTCTTAGCAATTCCAAGATAAGGCAGTATTTTCTTTTATTAAATTTCAGATTCTCATATACTGCAAACTACATGAATATGAGTTGCTATGGCATTTCTAAAAGTTTTTTCAGTAGCTCCTGAGATTATTGAATTAGTAGAAACAGTGGCGGACAGTTTATTCTTAAGCCAGTAGGCCTGGGTGACAAGAAACATGCAGTAAAGGAGAGATCACTCAACAGCACACCTGCCTGCTGTATGTTCAGCTTACACCTCAGCACACAGTGCATGCAAAGCCTTGGGCTTCAGGAAGGGTCCTGTGTATGTTTAAAATGTGTGCTATGTGTCCTTGACAAAATAGCAAGATCTGAAAGAAACTAAACTGTTAGTTCCTGTACGGCTCTTTCCCAAAGACTCCTGTGAATTTCCTCATTTTTTTTTCTTTTAAACCCATAGCCTACTACTCAAAAGTAGAACCACCTTTGCCTTGATATTTACCCACACATCCATAAGCATATATTGCTTTATAATAATTTTAAGACACTTTATTTTAAATTTTTCTTACACATTATATATAATAAATACTATGTACTAAACATATTCTCCCTGCCCCAGTCCTCATCCTCACTTTTTAGGTCCATCTCTTTGTTCCCCTAGACAATTTTACCTCAGTTTCCATTTAATATATATTATAACATATAAGTACATGAAAGTGTCCATAAAATCTAAGAACCACAAAGGGGATAAAATATTTATCTTTTTGCAATTGGCTGAACTTGCTGTCTATGATCATATCCAGTTCCATGCAGTTTTCTGCAGACATTTTTCATTATTGCTGAAAACTTATATTTTACTCATAAACCACAGTTTTCTTATCTATCCCTCTGTTCCTGGATACCTAGGCTAGTACCATAGCTGCTGTGCATAGAGCTGCAGCCAGCATGAGGTGTGCAGGTGTCTCTGTGATGTGCTGACTTAGAGTCCTTTGGTCGGGTAAAGGCAAAGGAGGGCTGTAGCTCATAGATATACTTCTAGATTTTCTTTTCTTTGTGAGAAACATTCACACTGATTTCTATGGAAGAAACATAAGTAACTGCTTTAGAAGGTTGGCAATGCCCTTATTAAAACAGTAAAATAAAGTTAGTAAAGCTTAGAAGTTCATAGGATTATGAGAATCCCATATATCTTTGGTTTTGGTGACATTGAAAATTGATTCAATAAGTGTAACAAACAGTTTGCAGTGTTTTATAAAAATTGTACCTTAAAATATCAATCATGTAAACTATTAGTATCTCTCAAGTTAGACAAAAATAAGGTAAAGATAATGTGTACCATCAGTTTGCTATGAAAATATGTAATGTATCTAGCATATAAAGGAAACAGTAATACAACTAGAATTTAATAATCCTTCTAGTACCGTATGGAGTAAGGAAACCAGACTCTATAGGAGGAGGTGCAGAAGATGATTCTGTCAACCATCTTCATCTCCCGCCCATGTTTAAAGAAGTGTCTTAGTTTCCGTTAGAACGGAGGCAGGGGTAGATGAGTAGAAGCCCTTTTGTTATAGAATGGTTATGTTTCTTGTTCTCACACCAGCCTGCTTTATGTTGCCAAGACAACTTGTTCTGTGCGTTCTCGGATGTGAAGTGCTTCTGTGTGAGAAGAGCATTTTAGTTTTAACTGTCCCCATTTCCCAGATAACAACCACTAAAGAAGAACCCTAGGAAAGTGCATTTTGTCTTTGAGGTTAAGTATAGTGTTGGTCTTTAAGTGGCTAGAGAGGAGTGTAGTTGGTGGCTTCAGAGAACACCTGAGGACTAGTTATGGATTTTCACTGAGATCTGTTATAAGTAGTTCAGCACCACAAATGGTTGCCTACAAATGACTGGGGAAGTTGA